TTGACCACGATACAATTCTTATTAAATTATTATCCTTAGAGATTTGTATTTTTTTTATTGAGCCTTTACCACTTAACGTTAATAACTTCATTAATTTAACAGTTAACTGGAATTTACTAAAACCTCATCTTGTATACGTGGAAACAGGCGCTTCCGAAATGATGAGTATTCACAATAAATCATATACAATCAGCAGACGCCTGATAGATAAGAACTCTGGTCATATTAGCTTCCGCACCCATGAACTATTGAGATAAGCCAAATAATTGCTTTCGTGGTAGCGGTTCATGTTCTCACCAACTAAACTTCAATATCCATTTATCTATTTGGTAAATATAAATGCTAAACAACTGAATTTAGATGGAACTCTGGACCAAATGGCATTATAAAATTTTTACACGTGTCCTTTACTTTGGGGCGGTTGGGATTTCTCCTGGAAGCTTTCATACTACTGTATGCAAACTTATGATTTCAATAAAACTGGGAATTAGGAATGATAAAATGGCGAAACTTCGCCCGCTCGAATTCGCCGACTGTGTTCTTGAGTGTAAACCGGATATGTTTTTTGATACTTTTTATTTCTATTTAATTTCTCGGTGTAATTAGACACAGGGTATTAGGGAATGATGATAAATCAGTTGATGAGGTTGTGAATCTTCATCAACTGAGATGGTTGGGCCACGTGTCACGTATGCCTGAACACCGATTACCACGACGCGCAATGCTGTCTAGTGTTGGGAATGGTTGGAAGAAAGTTAGGGGTGGCCAAACTAAAATGTGGCATCAGTGCTTGAAGTGACTAACTTCTGGTCTGAGCGATGTTGGTAGATGTAGACTACTTGGTTGGGGTCCGTGTGACTATCGTAACCAATGGTTGGAGACTGTGGGTGATATGTCTGAGAATCGATCACAATAGCGTAGGTGTATACACTCTCTGTCTTCCCTTATTATTATTATTATTATTATTATTATTATTAGCTTTATTCAATATTATAATTTTGATACAATATAGAATTCTCAGAGTAAAGTATTTCAACAAGTTTCCGTTTCTTTCTTCTTGGTCGGTCCTGGCGATAAATATTGAGTGATCGCCAGTTAGATGTTAGCACTTCAGTGAATGAACAACTGAATAATGTACATTCTTTTCGTTGTATATTGCCAGCAACCATATTGTCTCTTATTGAGTTTTCTGTAACTTTGACAACGAAAGGTTGTACACTTTTCAGAAACGCAGTAGAATAGGTTATGCGATTATTAAACATAATGATGTATTAAAACAAACAACAATAGATAACTTGTTGAAATATCTAGATGGCAGGAACAGGTAGCCCAGATGCTCAAGCAGGCCGCCTTAAACCATGAGATTAGAATTGCTGTGTGCCTTTCTTTCTGGGAGCTAATTATTTCTTCCTGTATTATATGCTTATACACAATCTTTCTTTGACATATTACTACCACTGAAGTAACTACTTCTATGAATTCTGTGTTGATCTTGTTGTGTTAATGAGGTATGGCAACTTGGACCGTTGCATATATGTGTCTGGTCCTACATTTCAGCTGACTGACTGACCCTCAGTGATCCAATAGAAATACTCGAGGAAGGTGGCATTTTTGTAAACTCTTGCCTACCTCCAATGTAATGAAGTTATTAGAGTTAAATAGTAAAAAGTCAGTAAAGACAGTTTTCTTGTTTTGTTTTTCTAATCAGTAAAAAATACAAATTTCTAATAACTAAATAATGGTTAAATTCTTTCAAATTATTCAATCATACCTTGAATCGGACACTTCTACCTAGTCATTTCAAGCATATGGTAAAAGTATTCAGTTATTATAAATTTTCGATTAGTGAATGATGGTTGGTTAGAAAATTTCACTTTTACGATTTGAGGAAAACGAGGATAGTGTATATCCATTTAGAATTGTTGAAATCTAGCTTACGTATATTCAGTGGGAATGTTGGAACTATGCATTTATATAGTTAACGATGATAAGTTGAGTACTTCCGTTATTTATGAAAACTTAGCTGATCCAGGCTTTATTTAGGCATAGTCAAAAACGAAATAAGTCTCATAAGTGAAAATTAAGCAAACTGATAAGGGTCCATCAATTCCTCTAAGACTGAAAGTGTACCACACTGAAGAACGTCAACCTGCGTGGAACCTAGGTCAATATAGTCCACGTGATGTTGATCCACTTAGACTAGTGTCCATATTGCAACTTGTTTAAGAGGACTCGATCAATACCAAAGAACTAGTCAAATATGCCATAGGTTACTACTCAGTAATCCATCAGTGTAAACTGATACATTGTTTTAAATTTAGTTTGACAAAAACCCAAATTGTTATTGTTTGCAAAAACAATGAGTTATTATGTCGCATTCCGTTCGTGTGATCGAACCGTCTAATCATAGGAGTTGTTGAATTATTTGGTCCGCTGTAGGTTTATTGACCTTCTGTCAACTAACAGCTCAGTGGCTATGAATAATAGAAGGATCGTAACCTTTGTCTGCATATAAACTCATTTGAACCCAGTGTCCAAACAGAAAATTGAAGCGATAGACACAGTAACTTTCTATTGTTTATCTATTGTCCCCATAAGTCTGTATGGAGCAGTTACGTAATCACATAGCAACACAAATATAAGTGAATAAAAACCGAGTATAAGTCCGTAACCAATTTAGTCTAGAGGTTAAGCGTTCGTGCGCGAGACCGGAGGTCCTAGGTTCGAATCCTGGCACGGAGTCGTAGGTGCGCACTTCTGAGTCCCAAACTCGGATAAAACAGCCGTCTAGTGCTTCCAGGTTTTCAGGTCGAACATTGATTGATTCATGATCCCAATCAGAATTGAGTATGGTTTTAAGAAGGTGAGACATATAAAGACAGTTTATAAGTCAAGCGAATGGTAATATTTAGAGAAATATAAAAATACGCTAATTTAAGTAATTGATAATCATACAATAAAAATATTAACACTGATTCCAAGCAGGATAGTTCTGACATTTAGCCTTTCCTAAGCTCATTCCTACACAACACTTACACTAGAATACTATTAATAATTATATATGGGTTTAGCATTCCTAAAAATAACAAATAGGGACAACAAGGCGATTGATTAACTTGCAGATAAGTCTTTTCTTGAACTGACTAACTTTAACTGATAAACCAGTGAGAAAAATAGGTCACTAAAGAGCTCATACTAGAAATACACATAACAAAAACATAGACTATCAGTGACCTTATAATATTATCAATGTCTGAAATGTGAATGGATATAAAAAATAAAATAGAGGCGATAGTGGATAGTTGTGAATTGAAAATTGTTAAAATCTGAATAGATAACTCTATAGTAATCAATTGTGTGGACTGTAAATTCTAAATATTAATTTCCTAAGTAGTCAAAGAAGTAAATGCCTCTGAAAAATTTACAAGAAAGTCAATAATTTTGTTTATTATTATGTGAATTCCGATATCTTAATGAATAGTTTAGTTTCTTCAATAAATCCACGTACTGACTGATAGTTTCGTGAAAAAAAGAACAGTAATATAAAACCATAGGACCAGTGTAGAATAATAAGATCACATCTGATTGATACATTTTTCATATACAAATGAATGTAACCTCTAATAAATCTTGAAAGTATTTGTAATTCAAAGTAATCGGTAGGTAGTTCTGTTCGATCTAATTTCTATGCTAGTTGGCAAACTTTAACAAGAAATTTCTACAATCTTCATTGACTTTTGTGGTGCATAGGTCGATACCATCCAGTATCGAGGTCGTAGACATTAACACTGATAAACATCTACTTTTGAATTACTCTATCATATTTCACCAATTATCAAATGAGCATTATTTATCCAATATAAATTATTACTCTGGATATAGTCAATACATTTTTTTCAACATTAGATAACAATCTGTTTAATCAAACTAGCTCTTATTAGAATGTTCTCGGTCTAACAATAAAAAAGAAAAGAGTTAAAATCGATTTGAATGAGAAATTTTAAACCAATGATAAATTGTTTACAGTCAGTCAGTTAGTCAGTTGGTTGTGGTATAAAACACATACATGTACAAATAGATAACGATAATGAGTTGCATGACAACACAAATAAAAATGATGCAAAACTATATATGAACATAGAATGTAGTGTGCACTTTTGTTTTATATGTATGAAGATTAACAATAAACAGAGACTTTCAATCTTTAACGAATTGTTTATATCTTAATTCCTTAAATTAGAATACCCAATTTAAAACAAACTACCAACCCGCCCACTCACTCAGTCACTTACTCACGCAAACACCAACGTGTATACGCACACACACACACACATACACATACACATACATCAATATGGCATTGTGCATTTCAATGAGAATAGTTTCTTCAATGTAAATGATTTATACAATGCCAACCATTCATATACAATTGAGATGGCTTGAAATTTATCTCTATTACAAAAGAATGCTGAGTCTATAATATTAATTATCTTTATACACAGATAACACAACAATATTACTGATAAAATTATTTGAAAAAATTGGTTAGCTCATTCAAATAAAAATGGTATTACCCATTTATTCACTGGACACAACTCGATCAAGTTTACAAATTATATTCTTAATATTCAAGAAGTGTAAAAATGCCTTATGTATACACATAATTAAGTGTTGAAGAATTTGGATTTAAACACTGAATTGACTTCATTCAAAAATTATTTCATGAAAGAATCTTGAAAAGATAAAAAAACAAACATTAAGTGATATTTTGTTAGGTTTCTAGAAACAATCAAATCATTTTTTTTTTGGTATCATATTGAAGTTGATACTTGACAATAGTTTGATAATTCATAGAATTTTTCATTGATTCTACCTGTATGTGCATTTCTATTTGTGTCGGTTTTTTCGAACGGGAACTAATCTTACTCATTACTTTCAACTTCTCTCATTGTGTTTAATTGAGGACATCAAAAGGAATAATATATAAAGACAGTAAAAACATGCGTTGGTTTCATCGGCACAGTAAAAAAAAATATGATCAATATGAGGTGAGTCATACAATTTTATGAGTATCAAATGTAAAGTTTAGTTACTGTGACTGATCACTCAGTAGTAGCCAATCTCTATGATTATCTAAACCGTACAAGTCAACCGGAATCAAAATAGTTGATTGCTAGCATCCTAGAATAGAGAATAGAGTGGAGTGCATTTGAATCTCACAGGGAGTATTAGACTTCTAAAGAATGTAGGTATGCCTTTCTGATCAGTATAGACCAGGACGAAACCAGTGTCACACGGATTTTCATACTATCTTCTGTCACCTAGCATCTAGAATATTATTTGATATCCGGTTGATTTGTGGAGATTACTTCAGTTTGAAGATAGATTCAATAATGAACTATCTTAAGGTAGAATGCAATTGACGGCTGTCGAATTCTTCAATAGCTCACCAGTTAATATCGAACCATGATGAAAATCAGTTTCAAATATGATTGTTCATATGGTCTGTGTTTTTACACTGTTGCTATTTAGAAATGGAACTCATTGAACCACTGTTGGTAAATAAACTGCATTAACGAGTCCCTAGATGTTGTCTTGTGGTTACAAGTTACTAGTATGTTTTGGATTTTGGCTGTGATTAGAATCCAAAAGTACATTCAAATGACGAGTCCTAAGAAGGACAAAACACTAGTTCTGGAATCTCTTACTAGCTACAATCTGAATTACTCTCAAATATATTCGGAACAAATTTTCATTTGATCAACTATTGTGAAATTTCGAAATGCCAGTAAGTGATTATTTGTGAAGGAAATTGTTCCGCCGTAAAATACTATTCATATCCTACGGGAAAAATTACCTTGATTTAAAGAATGAGAAAATTTTGTGACAAATTTAAAATGTTGATTCTCAAATTGTTCTTATAGTTCTGGCTAGCAGAAATCCTTCCATCAGGCTAAACATGTTCATCAGAACTATTCTACCGAAGAAATAAGTGTGTCTAGTTTGCAATTGCAAATAATCTATCAACAATAATTAAACTTACAGACTAATTTAGTCTTAAAATACGAATTGTTCACATAGAATAAATGAGATCTGGCTAGCAATGTAATTGAGAACATATATTTCATTCTACTTCAGATTCGTCGGTTGGATCTACCTGAACTCCAGATTTGAGATTTTAACCCAGTAACTTACTCTTCAAACGCCAACCGTGCTTTTCCAGAGTGAACACTAACTCTGGGATTCAGATACATCCAGATGATGAGTTACAGGTGGGACGAAGCGATCGTCATCGATTACATTGCTAGCTGAATTCCATTTATTTTAAATAAACTTGTGATATAATGGATACATAAGCGATACATAGAGGATCTACATATACCAAATAAGGTCAAAATATCGAAAATGAGATATTTATAATCATTACAATTTGAAATGAATTGTTTAGTTTCAGTACTCATTAACATAAATTTTAATGTTGGTCATTGATGATTGATAAAAATGATTGAAAAATAATGTTTTTTAATAGGCAGTAAACCATCGACTAAATAAATAATTGTTACCAGATTGGAGTGATACATATTTAATCCTAATCTTTCAAACAGACGAGTTGTACAAATTTAATCCATAAAACTTGGATTGGATTCTAAGTTTTAGCTTGTTTACTGTTCTCCTAACAATGTTTACATGTTGTGAATTCAAGAGTATGAAGTTTTTCAACTAATTTATTGGATATTGACCTACAATTATCCTTCATTACATACAATACTGAATAGTATAGTTTCCTAAGATTCTAATAGGTTGTTGGAATTTTATTTAAATGATATGAACATTCTCAATCTAAATGTGACATTATATTAAGTAAAGTATTACACTGTTAACAGTTGAAATGAATTAGATTTAGATAAATTGCGTGTCCAGGGTTTCCTGTTGACTAACTCCAACCACCATCTTATCTCAGCATAGTGCATACAATGTCGAGTTACTTAGACTAGTGGCCACATTACAACTTAGTCGATAGGATTCGATCTGTACTAAAAAGGACCTGATATACATGACATTGAGCATCACCTAGTGATCAGCCAATTACAATATCACCTGAATTCGATGGACTGAAAATTTTAAATGAAAATAATTACTATGAATTAAATATAATGGGTAATGTGTTGTTAGTTGTAAAATTTGAATTAAATATAAGTTTTGGTTATTTGATTAACTTATGGAATAGTTTTCTATAATTGACTTCATTAAAATAAATGTTCGTTTTGGTTATAGATCACCAATTATAACTATTCATTAAAACTTTGAGAAGCCATCTTGAAGCTAGTCATTCGTTAGTAAAGATAGAACTATATTATATAAGATGTTTTTAGAAATTGTTAGATTTAAGGTTTTCATTATAGACTAATGTTGCCTTGAAAACCACTGAAACTACGGAACACTTGGTAGTTAATATGTTCTAATCTAGGACTGATCAGTAGTAATCACTTTTATTATATCACTACAACCATTTCAGGGATCTAAATGAGACATTAAAAATTTCATGGTGATTATGATACATTAATATACCTTCAAGTCAGAATCAGAGATCTCACTTTTCCATCCTATTAATAGTAATAATAATAATAATCATGTATATTAGAGTAAAGCTTGATGACAATCAATTTGTTTGCTTATATGTTGTTTTAATTTTCACAAGGAAAGTCATGTACTTACTAGGGAATCGATAACAAAACTTATTTCAAACTTACAGAATCAACCAGTTGATTAAAATATAACAGATAGAGAGCCTGTAATTTATCCTATTTACTTCTGTCTTTCACCTTTTGTTAGTCTTTTTTATATGATTGATTTCTCAACTCTATGGTGTTTTGAGTAAATATTCATCAAAATCTGAACAAACAGTTTAAATAAACTAAGCGCCAAAAGACTCGAATCATTTATTACCATTGTTATTCAAATTTTAGTTGTTGAGACCAATTCAAATATGATGGTTATATCTTACTTTTATTTTGTTTTACTATTTATCGAAATGACTTGTTTTTCATTTTTGTCGTGATCTGTCATAAGAATCTTTAGCAACTTGATTTATACTAATTATTTTTCATGAAATATGCAGTGTCACAGTGTTAATTCACTTAGTCGAATATTGAGAAAATTGGCTCAACCAACTGTTGGCCCTTTCTTGATGGTTTACTAATGAAATTACTTCTTATCTAACGATTAGTTTATTCAAAAACTGTACAACCTCAGGTTGATTGTTGATATGTTGTTATAAAATATAGAGTACAATAACATCCTTGTAACTGACAATGATGCTGGGATTGAAAAACATTTTCTTTATCAAGGAGTTTATAAACCTTTAGTAAATGATAAACATTGTTTTATAATCTAGCTATTCTTAGTATAATCAACTCTTAAAGTAATTTAATCCACAACTAATATTTCATGATAGAAATTAATTGATTATACGTTGAAGATCTGCATATTTTCTATACTTAAGATTTGTAATGGTAAATGAAGTGTTAATCATTCAAAACCCATAAAATTTGTAAGATACGACTCAAGAAGTGATATAGTATTTCATCATGATACTTCCCTTGTCATTACAAAACTAATCATAGTTTTACATCCATAGTTTTACACTCTTAAGTTTTCGTGAGTGAAATATTCAGAATCTTAACATATATTTCATGCAATTGGTTCCCTTTATGAATTTAAATAGAGCAAGAACAAACATTGATGCAGAATAGTATGAATTCATATTATTTCGAGGTTTCTCGTCAGCTGCTTACAAACCAAAACTGCGATAGAATTTTTTTACATATAATTGAAGAGATTACATCTTAAGCATATGTACACTTAGACATGAATTATCAAACTCTTCATTGTGAAGCCCATTATTTCTACACAGAAGAAAACAACATTTAAGTTCATTTTCACAGGCGATAATATTCTATAAACAGTTAAATACCGTGAAATGCTGAGGAGTCCATACTAGGACGAAATGGCTGTCCAGTGCTCCCAGGTTTTCAATGGTGGTCTAGCTTCAACTGACTCATGATTTCATTCTGTCAAATTTCATAAATCTCCACAAACCCCTTCTGTTAATAGTTTGATTCATATTGTTTTCTTAAAAAAAGATAACAACAACAACAACAAATTTCCATATGTTTATTTCTTCGTGCACAGAATCAAAAAAGTAAACAGATTTGTACAGTGTTGAATGAGTTCACAACATATTAGGCTTATTAGTCTGTAAATATTATGGTATTATTTATTTACTAAACATCAATACTTTCTAACATTAATTACTGACAGCCTTATCTCTTAACTAAATATTACTGTTTCATTCTAGGTCTAGTTATTGTTTCAGTGTTTTTTTTTATTTATTCAGACTTTGAGAAAGTCTAACAATATTCAGATTTGTGATTGTTTGTAAGTGTAAGCATTTTGAACTGAACTTTATCAGTCTCTATTACCACATAAGCTATTTGACTAGATTCCTAAACCAAACCTGTAGTCATAAGTTGATTATTACAGTTACTATTATTATGAATAATAAACATTCTATCTACTGATGAATTTATTGGGTATCATATAAAATTGGATAAACTGTTATGGCACAACCTAATGAATACTAGACTTTACTCTTGACATAAACATTACCTCTAGGATCTAGAGAAATCCAACTGATAAGCCCCTAAGAAAAGACAGAATGAATATCATCAATTCCCTTGCTATATGTTATCGGCATATATAGTTTTTAGATTATTTAATTACTTGTAAAAAATCTAACAAATTAAACTCAATATTGTTCAGATGCAACTAAAATCCCATACTAGGACGAAACGACCATCCAGTGTTTCCAGATTTTCCATGGTGGTTTAGCTTCAATTGACTCATGAATTCAACTATTAAATTAATGTGTTCAACTGTCAATTTTGATAGAATTCTATTAGATTAAATTCATATTGTTATTAGTCAGTTATATCACTAGAGATTTTTATGAATTTTATGTTCAACTACGAATAACTGTTTGACATAG